ATTATGCTGAGTGAGGTATCTCAGTCACAAAGGGACAAATGCTATATGGTGCCACTGTTGTAGAATGAGGCTGGCATTGGGGTGGGGGTAAGACTGGGGAAAACTGGATGAAATAATGTTTACGGCATTGAAGTCTTTTGGGGAGAGAATAGTCTAAATATATTTTAGGGCATTATTTTTATCGTAGGAGTACGCAATGAGGGTTGTAGAGTGTGTTATATTTTAATTTTATAAAATATGAGGTATTCCTTTACGAAAAAAGCTTTCCACAAACAAAGCATTAACAAAATCTTAGGGATCAGGCAAGAGGGTTTTTTTTGGGGGGGGGTTTGTTTTAAAATACACTTTCAGAATCAGTCAGTATAAAAATAACTCACAGTGGCTGCTACAGAAACTACCAAATTTTACATATTCTTTCACCACAAAAATTGCTAAGTCACTGTTCTCAAGACATCTATTTCTCAAGTGAAAAGGAAAGAAAGACTTCTGGCTGTAGCTCAAGTCACTTTTTCAAAGGGTTACTGTTATGATCTATATTTTACCTCATTTGAGAACTGGGCAATGAATAAGGATGACAGGAGAACACAAGCCATTGAACTGTGGAGTTGGAGAAGATTACTGAATGAAAGGTAAATAAAGAACAGATACTCTTGGAGAAGGCACAGCCAGAATGCTCCTTGGAGGTAAAGATGATAAAGTTTTATACCACATACTTTGAGCATATTGTCAGGAAAGGCTACTGCTTTGAAAAGGATATAACACTTGGAAAGGTGGAGTGATGGCAAAGGAGAGGAAGACCTTCAACTAGATGGATATTGACATAGTGACTGCAGGAATAGGCTTGAGGGTGGCAGAGATTGTGAGGACGGCACAGGACAGGGTTTAGATCCATTGTTCAGAGTTGCTATGAATAGTATTCTACAGCACCTAACAACAACATCTTTTCCTCAGTTTCCAATCAAAATCAGAAGTTGTTGTTGACTGCTTCAAGTCGAGCACAACTTATAGCGACCCTATGAACAAAAGGTCTGAAGCCTTTCTATAACCTTTATCAAAGTTCATAGAGTTTCCGGAGGCATGCTGTTTAGGTAGTGGATGCCACTCCTGTTTCCAAAAAAATCAGTTGTTGTTGTTGTTACATGCCGTCGAGTCGCTTGCGACTCATAGCGACCCTATGCACAACAGCCCTAAACCCTGCTCTATCCTTTGCCAATCGCGTTGCCTCTGACACACCCATCCCGATTACCCCACTGAATCAATCCACCTCATAGAGGGTCTTCCCCTCCTGTGCTGTCCCTCTACTCTACCCAGCATGATGTCCCTCTCCAAAGACCTGTCTCTCCTTGCAATATGTCCAAAGGATGTCAGACAAAGCCCCAGAATCTTTGCCTCCAAGGAGTAGCCTGGTTTAACCCTCTCTAGGATGAATCTGTTTGTTTTCTTGGCAGTCCATGGTAGAAAGTATTAACTTATAGTTCCTTCCTTTTCACATTTTGCTTCCAATTTTGTGTAAGAATTTTTTAAAAGGTTAAAGTACTATGTATTTCTTGAGATTATTCATACTGAAGAATAAAATGAGAAGAAATAGAAATAGAAATATGTTATAGGCCCTGTAGAACAACTTTTCAAAATTAAATTTGAGCACAGATGTAGCTGGATGTTTTGGGTTATCAAAGACTCTTTACTCTCACCCTTTGAAGTTAACATGCACAATGTGTCAAATTAGCTTGTTCAGTATCCTTGTCTCTCTTTTTTTTTTTTTCAATGCCCTTTCAGAGAGCCATTACTGAGGAGCTATTGTTGGCATTTGAAGAATAAAACCTCATTTTGGAAGGTTGGTCTTGCAATGCCCTATCTATAACAAAATTGAAAACTTTGTTTTGTTTTGGGTTGTTGATTTTTCTTTTAGAATAAAAGGAAAATTATTTTGTAGAAAAGACATTTTGGGTTGTAAATTTTGTATACAAACATTATGAACATTTTAAGTAAACCAGGTTAAAATAATAAAAAAAAAAAGAGAGAGTTAGCCTCAAATGGTTTTAATGGTTAATTTAGATTTGGATGTTAGCAATTAACATAAAACAAGTTTTATCTACAATTTTAAAAAATGGTGAAATTGCTGACTTAAAAAAACAAATGAATATATATATTTTTTAATTTTATTAGTATTAATGAACATTTACAGGGATTTTGGGTTTTCATTCCTTCATTGCTGTACCATTCTCTCTACCCTCTTCCCCAGTT